TTGAATGTTTGCTGTATATATGTTGCTGTATATATGTTGTGAGTCCCCCTCGGAGTGAGAAGGGCAAAATATAAATGCTTCAAATGAATGAATGAATGAATGAATAAATAAATAAAGCCAGGAATATAGTAAAGGAAGGCCTGTCATTTCATTGGCAACTACAGTGATGGGACTGACCACATGGTCTGCAGCTTTTCTCCCTGGCTATATGACTGAAAAAGGAACCTGGGAGGAGAGGGGGGTTGGCAGCCATGTGTTAGATCCCCTTGCCATCAGTATAGTAGGCAGTGGTGGGGTGAGAGAAGGTGGCATTTGAGCCCCTGGGCAGTGGTGTTGAATTGGCCTTGGTGTTACTGGCTCAGGCTATTTTGTTTTACCACAATATGGGCTGGAAGTAGTGTTTTCAATGCCAGTTTCAATCCCCATTATGTGTCTCCGTAGAACAGCGTAAAATAAGGTAAAAGCCAAACCATCTGATGCTTTTTATTAAAAACTGCTTTCAGTCATACTATTAAGTCTATTTTAACTTAATGCCATCTGTGTAGGATCTAGATGGTACCTGAAATTAGTGGTTTATATAGGTACAATTGGGGAGTGGGGCAAAATGAAAATATTGCCTTCTCCAAATAAGAATTGCGTAGCATTGCAGAATGAGACTCTGGGAATTGTTCCTACCTAGAACTCTCCTATTTGCTTTTCCTCCGTCACTTTGTCCCTTTTCTTGGGATGCCTAAACTGTATTTTTAACTGCTCAACTGAAATTTTGTGATACTGCAATGGTCAAAAGGAGAATTTCATCAAGGGTCAGAATTCCTACTGGGGTAGGTTCAATGTTCTCATTTTATCCATCATCTGTAGCTACACCTGTGTGGGTATTAATAGTGTAATCCTACATGGCTACTCAGAAGGAATTCCCAATAGCTTTGACTCACTCACTGCGAGAACAAAGTATGTAGCTTTCATGGGCAGAAAATTCTGTGTTAGAGCAACAACCTTATCCAAAGCACTAGTGACTACATCCTTGATGTGAGTGGGCATGCTTCTCTCCCCACCCCTGATCACAGCAATACTGGAGATAAGAAATTACAGAAACTCAACAACTTGTGGAATTGTGTGGCTTATGAAAAGGAGGAATGACAGGGCAATAACAGAGGTTATTGTTGTTGCTGTGTACTTTCAAGTCTTTTCCAACACATTGTTGCTCTAAAATATCATGGGGTGTTTGTTTTTTTTAGCAAGATTTGTTCAGAGGCCTTTGCCTTCCTTTGAGACGGAGTGTGTGTGACATCTTTACTTTTTTTTCCTAAGAAGATATCAGATCAATTATATCTGTGAATCTGTAACTCTTGAAAGTAATATTTAACACGTTTTCGCTGCAAGAAGTATTCTTTCATATAATTCAGTGGTGGCTGTCAACTTCCATACCAGTGTGGTACTAAATTCACTAAAGTCTGTAGTCTGAACTCTAAAGGTACTACCTAAGATACCCACTTATTAGAAGGAATATACATAATTGAATATACATAATAGAAACATTGGAGGTAAATTTCAGGCAAAAATTGGTATGATAAGAAACAAAGATGGCAGGGACCTAACAGAAGCTGAAGAGATCAAGAGAAGGTGGCGAGACTATACAGAAGATCTGTATAGGAAGAATAATAATATCGAGGATAGTTTTGATGGTGTGGTGAATGAATTAGAACCAGACATCCTGAGGAGTGAGGTTGAATGGGCCTTAAGAAGCATTGCTAACAACAAGGCAGCAGGAGACGACGGGATCCCAGCTGAACTGTTTAAAATCTTGAAAGAGGATGCTGTCAAGGTGATGCATGCCATATGCCAGCAAATATGGAAAACACAAGAATGGCCATCAGACCGGAAAAACATCAACTTATATCCCCATACCAAAAAAAGGGAAATGCGAAAGACTGCTCAACCTTCCGTACAGTGGCCCTTATTTCTCATGCCAGTAAGGTAATGCTCAAGATCCTGCAAGGAAGACTCCAGCAATACATGGAGCGAGAGTTGCCAGATGTTCAAGCTGGGTTTAGAAAAGGGAGAGGAACGAGAGACCAAATTGCCAATATCCGCTGGATAATGGAGAAAGGCAGGGAGTTTCAGAAAAACATCTACTTCTGCTTCATTGACTATTCTAAAGCCTTTGACTGTGTGGATCATAATAAATTGTGGCAAGTTCTTAGTGGGATGGGCATCCCAAGCCACCTTGTCTCTCTCCTGAGGAATCTGTAGAAGGACCAAGTAGCAACAGTCAGAACTGACCACGGAACAACAGACTGGTTCAAGATTGGGAAAGGCGTACGGCAAGGCTGCATCCTCTCACCCAACCTTTTTAACTTGTATGCAGAACACATCATGCGATGTGCGGGGCTGGATGAATGCAAAGCTGGGGTGAAAATTGCTGGAAGAAACATTAACAACCTCAGATATGCAGATGACACCACTCTGATGGCCGAAAGCGAGGAGGAGGAGCTGAGGAGCCTTCTAATCAAGGTGAAAGAAGAAAGCGCAAAAGCCGGGTTGCAGCTAAACGTCAAAAAAACCAAGATTATGGCAACAAGAATGATTGACAACTGGAAAATAGAAGGAGAAACCGTGGAGGCCGTGACAGACTTTGTATTTCTAGGGGCAAAGATTACTGCAGATGCAGACTGTAGCCAGGAAATCAGAAGACGCTTACTTCTTGGGAGGAGAGTAATGTCCAGTCTCGATAAAATAGTGAAGAGTAGAGACATCAGACTGGCAACAAAGATCCGCCTAGTCAAAGCCATGGTATTCCCTGTAGTAACCTACGGATGTGAGAGCTGGACCTTAGGGAAGGCTGAGCGAAGGAAGATCGATGCTTTTGAGCTGTGGTGTTGGAGGATAGTGCTGAGAGTGCCTTGGACTGCGAGAAGATCCAACCAGTCCATCCTCCAGGAAATAAAGCCCGACTGCTCATTGGAGGGAAAGATACTAGAGACAAAGTTGAAGTACTTTGGCCACATCATGAGGAGACAGGAAAGTCTAGAGAAGACAATTATGCTGGGGAAAGTGGAAGGCAAAAGGAAGAGGGGCCGACCAAGGGCAAGATGGATGGATGGCATCCTTGAAGTGACTGGACTGACCTTGAGGGAGCTGGGGGTGGTAACGGCCGACAGGGAGCTCTGGCGTGGCTGGTCCATGAGGTCACGAAGAGTCGGAGACGACTGAACGAATGAACAACATACATAATTGTCATGCCCTAGGAATCTGTGATACTGTGCTTGCTTTTGTAGTTTGACCCTCTTGGTTTTCTGTACCTCTAGATGGTGGAGACTCCTTCTTTGGAAACTTTTAAACAGAGGCTGGATAGACATCTGTCGCAAATTCTTTTAATGCAATTTTCCTGCTTCTTGGCAGGGGGTTGGACTGGATGGCCCATGAGGTCTCTTCCAACTCTATGATTCTATTATTCTAGATGTGATATAATAGCTCCTCCCTTCTCTCTCAGTGGTATACTTGTTCTGAAGAGAAATCATGGCTGTTCAGCTCCTGCGAATTTATCATTTGTCACCTACTTTGGTAAGATGTTTTACAAGATTTACCTGGATTAAAGCATCTGGAATCTTATCTATGTCTTCTCAGTTGAGTTGAACACTTTCCGACAACAAATATCTGGTGTAAGTACTGCTTAAATAGATGTAGCTACGGACACTCCCACAACCTCACACTTGCAGCCAAGTTATTGAGTCAGAACAGTGAAAAATGAATAATAATCTAGCCTCAAGTTCAGAGTAAAGTGAATTCATTGTCCAACAGACGCAGAAGGCACCAGCTTTCACTGCAATGTAGTTTACTATTTGAATCGGAAATAAAACAGCACTACCACCATCTCTTTGAATCTTTATCACCTTCTATTCAGCATTTTAAAACAAGTCACTGGATCCTAAATTTCTTTTGCTCTTCCAAAGGAATTGGCTCCTTTTGCAAAGTGGAAAATCACATAAGTATGAAAAAAAACCCAACCAGAATACATTCACATGTTCAACTGAAAAGCCAAACGTTTATTATTAAAAGGGAAAAGAACGAGAGACCAGCAAAAATTTTTTTTAGTTTCAACTTCCGTTTGTTTTATTTATTAGTGTTGTGAAGACTGAAGATATGAGCTGTATCCAGGTCCAAGGGGAGAGCTCACTTGATTGCGTACCCACCATTTTTTTTGAAGCAAATCAAAACCAAGTCACTTGTCTTTCACATGTCCACTGGGAGTCTTGTATTTATTCACATTATCAGAAGTTGGGAACCTCTGATCATTTTATAAAAGAATTCTGATTTACACTATACAGCAGGCATTGAAACCATGATACAAAATTTATTTCATGCTAGAATTATGTTGCATAACACTGTGCATGCATTTTACGCAGAAGTTCTAAATTGCATACAATGCCGTTGCCTTGTTTCTTAAACTCTGAGACAAGTTGGTACTTGAGCTGTCTCCTGAATTGTATACTGTAAGTCCCAGGTTGTTGTTGTTTATTAAAAAAGCATTTTTCAATGTTTAAAATTCATTACTGATTACTTAGTATGAACAATTTGTCATGAAGAGTCTTCACATTGGATCTATACACCAATAAAGTACAACATAACCAGAGCTGGAAAATCTAGACCAGCTGTTACCGTCAGGTCTGAGAATTAGTCCCAGGTTTCACAAGCATGCCAACAAAAACAGACAGGAAAAGAAGATTGTTTTTACATTTTACACAACTCTAGTTCAATGAAAAGTTCTTGATTTTCATGTCACTGTCATGAATTTATGAAGGCATGGTCAATATGACCGCCCAATTGCACTTTTAAAACCATTCACTCTTTTTTAAAGTTTGTATACAAAAAGAAGCAATCCATAGCAAAGGAATGTACGCTTTTTAGACCATTTTTACAGTTTGGCTACAACAATGTATGTAAAAGTAAAGAGCTCTGAAAGAAAATATATCACTTTGTCTTTCCCTTCCCACCCACCCACACGCGCTGCTTTAAAGTTACTCATACAATTGCAGAGTTGGTTTGTTATTTCTTTTTTCATGCAATTCATGCTATGGAACAACAACAACAAAATTCTACCGTTTGTTACATTTTGGCCATAGAAAAAGCCTGCAAATCTACTTTATATCTCTGAAACCACATAGAACCGTCCTGCAAACTTGCATGGAGTGAGATTACATTGGTCCAAATGAAGAGGTCTTCTAAGCCCGCACAGTTCCACCCAGACGTTTATTAGCCATCATTGTCCATCTCGTGCTCTCCATGTCAAGTCACTTTGACTGCCTCTGTTGGCATATATTTAGCAATGACAGGACTTTCTTTGCAAAGATCTGCATGTAAAGAATATAATCAATACTTGAGCTTCTCTCCTGAGCTTTTCAAACCAAGCTGGGCGTGTTTAAAGGAAGGAGGGCTACGGTAGAAAGAGCTACATGCAGAGGCAGCCAGTTTTCTTCTCCGCCAGTACTTTTTTTCCCATGCAGCCAGCCAGCCAGAGACCTCTCTACAGTGTATCTTATTGCTTTCAACATAGAATAGGCGCCCATGCAAAGTTTTCATCCTACTGCGTGTGTTTTGCTCAAATTCCTGCAGGGTTCCTATGGCTCAAAAATATCCTGAGAAAAGCAAAATCTTCAACCGTTGGCAAGTTTCAGCATTGGACTAAATGCTTAACCATTCCATAAGAGCCAGTGGATCCACCATAAGCCAAGAAAAGCACATATCAACATGGTACACCAGTGGGAGGAAACTACATGGTGCATCCACCTTATTGTCTTATGTACCAATATCATGCAGTGTTATGGCCCACCAAAGCTCCTAAAGCCCCACTCAGTGTCATCTCAGCCCCACTGACCAAGAATGTTGTCAATGTTAAGTGTTACTAACATGTGTAGTAACACTGTTCTCATGAGATGCTACCGAGAGACATGGCACCTTCATACATGACCATGTCTTCATACATGGTACCGCACAGACCAATTAGAAAGAATTGCTTTTCTTTTTTCTTTCTTTTTGATCTCTACTTTTCTAATTTGAAAGATTCGTGTTATAAAGTTTATCTAGACCATTCTCTGCTACTGATCCATGCTACAAAATTGATGGGATTGTAGACCAAGAATGTCTCATTAGGCTGGGAGAGGTGTAGGGTGCAGGCTTTGAGGATAACTCTACTGCTTTTCCACTTATGCCAGCTATGCTGTTAAGGCTCCTTGACATTTCATAACCTTTGTTCAAAAGAAAACAAAAATGCAGAAATACAGCATTGGATCAACAACAGAATGGTCAACAAAGTAGCCAGATCAGTAGCATCTTCATGCTTTGACATGCTGAGAGTAGTATCTCTTGCAACGTGGTCAGGATAGAAATAGTCCGAAAATAATGATTGGGGGAAAACTAATTTCCCTCTGATGGACACTCTCTAATATAATATGTTACATATTATATAGTATAACATTATTTGCTATGTTCTGCAATTAAACAGAGATAATTAACTCTGCATTTTTGCCACAGGGCAGCTGGAATAAATAAATATCCATGTGCTGATATTCTGTTTAAAACATCTGGAATGAATAAATAAATGACCCTGAAATAAGCTTTCCTTCCACTATTGTCTGAAGGTCCTTTTGACACTGTATTTATAACCTAATTCGCACCCACATTAAAAGTATTTATTCTGTTGCTATAGAGATACTACTCAGTTTGATAACCAGCATTTTTGCATGCATTTGTTTTCCTTCCTCTTCTCTGTCAGTTTTCCGGCATGCATTATGTAGCTTAGCAGGTTAGAGACACAGTTACACCATCTATGAAATGAAATTCCGTGGAAACACTCAAGTTCTTCTCTACATATTTTTTTCTTCAAACAGGCCAACAATATGCTGACATTTATACTTCTGTAGCCAGCTGGCCTTATTTTCAGTCAACAGGTCAAGCCTGGTTCCTGTTGAGGCACATTGTGAGCACTGCCCTTTTTTCATCCTGAAAGTGATGTCACTTTTTGCAGCAGACTCACAATGTACTGATCCAAAAACCAGCAAAAACCTCAAATTGAATGAAATGACCAGCACCTATCCAATACAGAATCAGATATAAAACACTTTGCTACAAAGGTAAATTTTAGCAGAGATACTTTCACAGGAAAGTATAGTGACCCTACTATATCTTATAATTAATATGCTTTGAAACTATGTATGCACTACTTCTACAACTGGCATTTATTCTAGCCTTCTTTTTTTTCTTCTTTTACCAACATGCATTGTATCCTTGCAGTTTCTGGGTTGTATTATCCTGTGTTACAGGTTACACCCTACAGTCCTTACGGCATCTTTATATGCAATGTTACAATCTATGGCCACAATCAAAAATAGTTTTTCAAGGAGGGAATCTTTCCAAACTTAGCATGAGCAGGGTTTATCCCCCTCTCTTACTGATCTGGAAGCATGACACAAAATCTTTGGGAACTCCTCACACAAAGTTCCAAGAAGACTATGTGTGATGCTGGAATTACCAGAGCAGGGAACCAGTATACTACATCAACATTCAATATCGATTTAAATGGTAAGGTTTTGCTTGTTTAAATATGCACTTGTTAATTTTAATAGAATGTATATTAAGGTAGCCACTTCTCTTGTCATGGTCGAAACATTCAGGGAGATCATTAACTGACCTGAGTAATAAAAACTAACGGGTAAATACAGATGAACATGGTGGGGCGAAGGGTGGGGATGGGGATAGCATAGCCTTTCTTCATGGGTGAGAATGGCCTTTACATTGAGTTATGAAGCTGTGCTACAAATTTAACTTGTTTTATGTAAGGACAGAAGTGGCCAGTTTTTTTAAAAAAATACCTTCACTTTCAAAAGAGGTGCTGTCCACCATATAAAGCTGGAATAAATAAAATATACTGAAGAATAGTCTATTAACATTCATTGAAATAAAGAAAGATGGAAGACTGCCTGATCTACACAGCAGAACTATAGCAATATGTCACCACTTTAACTGCTATAGCTCCATCCTATGGAGTCCTAGTATCTGTAAGGGTAACTTGTTTCACAAAACTACAACTCCAGAACTACATAGCATTGAGCCATGGCAGGTAATGTGATGTCAAAGTTCTGCAATTCTGCAGTGTGGATACAGCTGTGGTAGTGTGCATTATCTTGCTTTTGATCTCTTCCTTTAATGCAGCTATTCCCAAACTGGATTACTAGAAGCTTGGGGTGGGGGGATACTTTTATAAAGTATATATTTTAATGATGGCAATTGTCTCTTGCATTTCATTTGCAAAATTCAGTTTTTTTCCATAAGTAATTGGTTTCTTGGAAACTCCAAAATCCTGTTGAAGTAAGGTGGAAGAAGAACTGGGGGCAGAAGCTGGAGAAGTGCGGAAAGATTTTGTGCCACTCAGAGATGGGGCACTGTATTGTTCCAGGGACTGCCATCACATAGAAAGCAACTGAGAGGGAGCCCCACGGCAGCTCAGGTCATGGTGAACTGGTGCAGGTGGGTTTTCCATTCTGGAGAAAACTTGATTGTAACAGGTGAGCAAATAAATAGTTTGGGAACTACTGTTTCTAGCCCAGCTGAATACCCAATTAAACTATGTCGGTGTGATACTAGTGTGTAAAACAAGCTGCTATTTGACAGTAAGATCTCTTAACTCTTATACTATGTTGCTATCTATGTGATCACAGGACCTCGGCTACATACCCTTTCTTATTCCTCCATCAGGCGGGCAGGGGTATTCCCCGGTTGATAAGAGGAAGCAGGGTCCATATTTCTCCCGAGTGCCAGAACGGGTAAAGGGCAGGCCTTCCTCGGGTGACATAGTCTGGTCTATGTGGGGACAGTCTTCATTTGCCAGCGCCGCCTTGGCCACTTCCCCATTCAGTTTCGAATCTTCAAACATATAAGCAGAAGGCTATTGAAACACTAGGAATTGTTTTATTGAAATGACAACTGTTGGTAGGGTTCAACAGCGACATAGTGATATAGGAATAAAGGAAACAAAAATAAGTAGCAGATTTGTCCTAGGTATGTTAACGGTGTGCAACACACCAGAATTTTTTTTAAGGAAAAAAGTGAAAAGGGGAAACAGAATGTTAGCTGGTTAGAATGCTTGCTAGCATTGGCTCCTAGCTTTGCAATCAGAAATGTGATTATGTTTAGCATGACGTAAAATGGCACGCAAACAATCATTTTCTCATAAAACTTCAAAGAACTCATAGCACTTGGGGGACTGGCATTGATCACAAAGACAATTCTGTTAGGTGGCATTTGAGCACATACTGCAGTTTTAGTGATTGGTACATTTTACAGCCCATTTTTGGGGAAATAATCCTTACACAGGTTTGCTTCCGATTTGTTTCCATTTTGGCAAACACAAAATGGTGCACACATTTTTGACAGATACCACACAGAGGACACAATGAAAATTTGACAGTGGAACATGGATTTTTTAAACAATAAAAATCCATTTGCTAAAGTAATGTCTACAATGACATACCATTTGTTTGTTTGTTTTACCTTTTTAAAAAATGGCAGCACAGGATGCTATGCATTTTAAGACACTTAAGCAGTAGATGGAATTTGAAAACAAACATACACTGAAAATGGTAAAATGGCTTGTTTAAATGGGTCCATGTCAATCCACATGTTTTTAGATGAACAGAAAGTTTTCTCTGTGTGACTCGCTTCACAATCTCAAGGCAACTTAAAGTGCTCTTCTAACATTTTAAAGTGCAAATTCGTATATTCAGAAAAAAAACTTGAAATATGGTACAGTTCAGTGGGGATCTTTTGGCCAAAGCAATCACCAGACATAAAAGTAACCTGCTTCTCAGAGCTGGTATATATCTTTTGTGTGACAAAGCACAGACAGTTGCAGTATTCAAACCCTCGGTTGCACAATGCTTATTACATAAAGAAAGCTGGACAGGAATGGTGAATGATGAGACTAAGTTGAAACCAAAGGGACAGTTGGGAGAGCAATCATATGTTTCATTCTATTGTTGGAGGCTACAGACAATGCCATTGCTGTTGCCCATTTTTGGTCGAAAGATATTTAGCCACCTGCACACCTTTTATTTTTGTCAGTTTTATGCTAATTTATGCAATGCTTTTGATACGAAATAAATAAATTCTACAGATAGATCTAATATTGTCATTCTTTCCCAAGACTGTTAACTAGATTTCATTGACAAGTGTGTGACTAATAAAATCCATCCAAGAGGATAAAAGAGACCACATGACCATTGAAGATATTAGATATAAAATCATTATCCAATCATTCTGGCTCTGTTGCAACTGTATATTGGGGAGAGAACACATGATACTACAGATGTTGGACTGCAGCACTCATCACCCTTAGCATAGCCATTTTTGAGATATGATGGGATTTGTAGTTCAACAACAAATTGTCTACCCCAATGTCTAGAAATAGAATTAAAAGTGTTATTTTTCGATCTCTCCCCACTTCTTACAAATCACCCTTAATAATGTTTTAAAAATGAAGGGCAGCTCTGAATCCTCCATTTGGTACTCATGGAATGAGATGGATGGGAAAAGGTGTAAACACCTGGAAGAGGTACATTTGCTATCTTCATTCTCATAGTGCAATAGCTGGCATACCAAATTGTGCAGTTCATGCTAGGCAAGCAATTGCCACAGTTTGTCATGGACGCTGCATGAGAAAGTTGGGGGAAATGACAAAGTCATCATGAAGACCTACCATAGCATTTCCACCTTCCTTGTTGTCGGTTCTTCATAAGAAATGTTTACTTCCCTCAGAAAGATAATGCATTTTAAGATGTGTTGTTATTTATCTTTCTAGATGTATATAGCAAACTATCAAAACTCTGAAAAATTAACTGTTATTACAAAACTTCCTTGCCAAACAAAGACAGCATTTCACTGTGATACACAGGAAAATTTTCATTCTTCTTGGTTGTAGGGTTCTCTAGCACTAGAGCTAGAGCTTTTCTATCCTAATAGGTAGAAAAAAAAACCCTTAATCCATGTGGCCTTCATGTAATTGCTCTTAGAATATAGACAATATCCTACAGTCTCAAAGCATCAGTTGTGTCTATGGTACGAATGACAACGCAGGCACTTATGTTCATTATTTCATTAACATTGTTTCCTTCAAATTTAAAAGTGACCCTTTTATCTCAGAACATTTAGGTATCTGAAAGGATATACCCAGGAAACAACTCAAGCGGTATTTAGACTCTTCTAAATTCTCTTTTTAAGAAAAAGCCAATTGGAATACTCAAGGGACATATAATCTCAAATTTTATCACAGGTGAATCTTACTGTAGTTAAGCACAGTGCTAGAGGAGAGAACTGCTATATAATTTGCTCAACTGGCAGACTAAGGAAGCTTGCGGTCATAAGTTATTGTTGTGGGGGGGGTGTGTGTTGAGAAGGGGCTAATGTTCTTCTTCCATGGTTATACACTTTAAGAGAAGGGAGATCATTAAGGTGAACCTGTCGAGATGTTGTGTCTGATCAAGGAGCTGGCTTGGGTAGGAGTTCTGCATACGGGGAAGACAATTGTGCAGTGGCTACAGTAGGCAGCCATTGTGAGATTCCACAGTGGGTGCAATCTCTTAATAACAATTTTGCAAAACAGTGCCTCTTTTTGCAAGACTTGAGTTGGCTATATATTGGCCTGCACAGCTAGGCATAGCCTCTTTTTGCTGCAGACTTTTTTTAAGTAAAGAAGATCTTCATGGCGGTATATGCTGTAAGGAGCTAGGTCCAACAAGTGGGGAGAGATTTCTCTTTCTCCATATGCATGGTCTGTGTGTCTGTTCCCTTCCCCTATTTTCTGAGGATTGTGACAGTAATTGAGCTCACCTGACTGGGTGAGAGTGGCTCACTATCTTTCTTACATATTTTCTTCTCCTGGTTGCATCTCTGCTACTTTTTTGCCCCTTAGCTACCCTTCCATCTGCATCCCTCTTCACTTCCCCTCCCTGACTTCCTCCCTCAACTCCCCTGAGAAGCCCATAACCCACTGCCTCATGTCTCATATCCTGCCTCTCTTCAACCATCAGCCTGCACTAGATTTTCCCTGGTTCATCGTTTAGAACCATGTCCCCATCCTGCTGGATTCTGTCTGTTGCCTGCCTTGCCCTCTTTCCTTGTCTTCCTTGACCAGCTCTCATGGCCTCGATTCCCCAGGCAGTAGATGGCTCCCTTCCTCTTCCTATGCCCACTGAAACCCTGCCCTAGCCCATCAGAGTCCCTTCCCTACCATGGCACCTTTTCTCTGAGCACATCCCTTCTGGTTGGCAATGCACTCGTGATTGTTATTTTATTATCATTTCTTCCTGTTTGTGGTTTTTGTTTTGCTTTTATTCTCTTTCCCTTCCTACTTCTCATGTTTTTTTATTCTCTCGCTCATGCTTTCACTCCATGTTCTTCTACCATGTCTTCTACCATGTCTTCATTATATGTAGCATAGTTATTTAGATGTATGATTTACTTAATCCCCTTTCCTTCGCAAAAATTGGACAAAAGAAGCAAGATGACCTAAATCACCATTGCATATATACATATCGCATGTTATGTTCTCAATCCCTTGTGTCAAACAGGTCTGTCATGCCATTTTATGGGCCCTTCAGGTGCTGGACTACAACTCCCGTTTTCCTCTTCATTAGACATCATTACTTGAGCTGATAGGAATTGTGATACAGTAAAACCTGGAAGGCTATAGTTTGTTCTGTTTAGTTAGAATAGTGGGGTTTGAATTTAGATACAACCTTGTAGATATGATGCCTTACTTCAAAATGTCCTTTACTCTTTCCCCAACCTCAGAGCCACAGGGGTTGCAGTGTTGTAATTCCCATTAGCCACAGATAATCAAAAGTGATTGGAGTTGTCATTTGATAACATCTGGAAATACAAATTGGGTCAAAACTAAAGAGTGTTAACTGCTATATTAAAAATATTTAGTTGGTGCTCTGTATCCATGGATACTTCGTTCCTTGGATTCAATGGCCCTTTGAAGGCATCCATAAGGCTGATGAAAATGAGTTTGACATCCCTGTTCTCAATGTTGTAGAAGCATATTTCTATACTTTTCCAACTATGTCTTACATTTAAAAGTTTCAGCCTAGCAGCCATCTACCTAAAATATATGTTGACTTTCTCCCAATCCAACTTTTAAACTATCCGTGCAATCCAGAAACATGTTCCGAGGGTTTCTCAGCCCCACAGAACAGGGGCTGAGAAACTACATGGGGTAGATTTTGGGGGAGGATTGAGGGAATTGCCCATTTCATAATTCTATTGACAAAATCAGTTCCATAAAGAGAACAATGTTGTTGGATCTTGGCTTATATTTACCGCAGACCTGCTTATACAATTTATAAACCAGGGCATATGAGCAGATGACTAATTCACCTGTGACGAGTTATTGTTTAATAAATGAAAGCCCTGTGATCAACCTAAAATGGTGCACTCCAAGAATAGTCTCTGAAAATAAGTCCTCTGTGTGTGTTAACTTGACTCTCATCCTCCTTAATAACATTTAAAATCTGGATTCATGACTAGGGGTTTAGTGAAGCACTCTTCATACAGAGATTTGAAAAAAATGAGCCAGAGGTGCAAACTAGCTGGTCTAAAATTCAAGTATTCCTTTAAATTAATACCCACTATCTCTTTAGACATGTCAAGACAAGACAAGACAAGACAAAACAAAACAAAACAAAACAAAACAAGGACTTCTTAAAAGAGTCGCCTCTGTTTTACAATAGAACAATGAAATGTTACCCTGTTCTTCTACATAGTAGTATAATTAAGTTATGTGTCCACAAAAGGTAGATGGTTCAACTATCATTTTGAGGTAGAAATATTAAACCTACTTGAAATAGAAAAAAAAAACAATCAAT